TCTCTCTCTCCCCCTCCCTCTCTCTCTCTCCCTCTCTCTCTCTCTCTCTCTCTCTCTCTCTCTCTCTCTCTCTCACTCACTCACTCACTCTCTCACGTGCTACCATTCTTCCATCCTTCTCTCGTTTTTTCTCACTCTCACCCGCGTTCTCTCCCTCGCTCTCTCTCTCTCGGTTCTCTTTCCTCGCCCCTCCATGCACCGTCCGGCGCCCCTCATCCCACCCCTTTTTCTCCGCTCCATAAGTCTTTCTCTATCCTTCCAGGTTTGTTCTCTCTAGAATAAATTGTGTCTTTTTAATAACACGCGATTTTCTCCCGAAGCGTCGTATACGCCGGTTTTCGCCGTCCGCGAAGCGTAACCTCTCGCGCACCGCTCGCACGGCGCGGCCGAGAGGGATCATTGAAGCCGCTTCTCTCTCTCGCCGTGCTTCGTATTCGTCGTTCTCGTTCTCGTACCCGTCGTTGTCATCGCTATCGTTCGCGCTCGGTCTCGCACGCCACTTTGGCTTCGCCGTACGACTCGTCATTACTATGTGGCGGCGACGTGCCTTACATTCGATAACGGTTGAATCGCCCAGGCGCTCCTCGTGACTATAGTCCGTCACTATTTGGTTCGTTGCATTGTTTCTCCTCTTGTGTGCTGTTCTCCTCATCGCTCGATCAAAGCTCCCAGTGTTTTTTCACACCGTCCGTCCTCTGCTTTCAGATGTCTGCTGGGTCACAAATTCAGATGGCACCCCAAACAACCGTAAACTCTGGTCAGACAGTTCATAGTCAAGACTCGAACATGAGCACTGGTAAGTCAGATTCATTTTTGGAGATTGATACGCAGATAACTGTAGTCTTGCTTGAAATACTTGTGTAAGTGCTTTCTACATATCTTGGTTTTTTTCTTTTTTTTTTTTTGAGGCACTAACTTGCCTCAAGGATAAAATCTTGTGCATCTGGAAAAGTGCTCTCTGAATATTCTTATTGTGTATTCCCGGATGAACAAGCAATCCTTTGATTTGTTATTATCTATATTGATACAATTTAAGAAAGAGAGAGTATACCTTTATTGTTATTCTGACAATGGATTATAATTCTGTAGGCTCATCGCATAGTGATAAGGAGGTGGATGCAAACACTCCGGAAAAAGTACCACGGACTACTTCTGAGAGGAAAAGAAAGCGTAAAGCCGATGATGGAGGTGGAGGTGTCGCAGGTGGCTCTGTAGCTAGTAAGGGCGCTAGATCAGTTGCTGCTCTTGATAATAAGAAGATCAATGAGTATTTTCCAAAGCATCATCTGGGCAGTAGCCCTATTCGGCATGGTGGAGCCAAGAGTCCCTCCCCTCAACAGGGTTATCCTATGGTAAGATTACGTTATATAAATGTAAATGTTACAAAAATAGTCTTGCAGCTTTGTGATGCCTGTGTATGTTTCCTTGTTAACAGTATCCGCCATCACCACAACAGTTACTTTCGCCACAAGTAACGACACCTAATTCTTCGGTGGCAGAATTCTCTTCGTTGATGCAGCCACCGAGACCTCATCCTCAACCTCCACCACCTCCTCCACCAGCTTCGTCACAACCTGCGGGCTCGATGGTCAGCAAGCAGGTGCAGGTAAGGCCTACCAACCTCAATAGGACAAGCCAGGTCAGGCAAGCGAAGACTAACACCCCAAATGTAAGCAAAATTCGGTAATATCTGCAAGCATTTTATAAGAAACGTCCCACAATTTTCGTATTTTTCTACTCCATATAGTTGGCAATGTGATAAGAGTACATAAGCTTAAACGTTTCCAAAATATCTTCATTGTTAATCTAACAAAATATAGCATCTCTCACACGTGTAATAAATAATAAAGCTGTTACTGTCACTTTGCAACTATTAAAATATACCGATAACAATATAGAATTACTGTTTAATAAAAATGTATTCGTTAGAAGTACTATCTTCATAAAAATTTGTCTTGTATTAATTTTTTGTGCACAAACGAAGTAGTAAAAACAATAGAGTGATAAAAACATAGAATGGACAGATTACCAAAAACTAATAGTGTATTCTGGAGTATTTTTGTATTTAAGAATATTTTGTTTGTGGTCTTGTGCAACGTAGATTAGATTTTTCGTATGCATTTGTGATCTTGTGGTGGGCATTTCTTGTCAAATGTTTTTAGTCAAGTTGACTAATATTTGGCCAAATTGTAGCACTGTATACATTTGTTATTATACAAATACAGGCTATCTTGTACTGCCACTCGTTTCTGTTACAAGATACTTGTTTCAAGAATTCGAGTATCTAATTTAAAAAATCGTACTGTATTTGTAAACAACGCTCGAGTTGTAAACGAGCGTTGTCGAAGGCATATTTTATTGCTTTGTATCATATCTTTATTTCTTTGGATTCATTGAACATTGCATTTGAGTTCTAATGAGTCCACTATCGTTTAACTGTTCCAAGATAAAATCTATTAAAAATTTTTTTGGGGTTATATATCTATATATTGACGTTTGTATGAGAGCATTTTATACATGCGTACATTTTTGGTGTTTTCCTTGCTGCCTGTATGACCTTCAGTTTCATCAACGTTTGTTCACGTTGCCTAAGTTTTGCTCACTAATTTATTTTCTATAACAAAGAGAAAGTCATATGCCGTAGTGGAATATAGAAATTATTACACTATGTAATTAAACAGATAGTTGCTAGAACACCAAATATAGACGTTGTATACTTACCGTGTAACTTTGTTAATTTATTTAACAAATTATTTCTTATGTTACGCACTTTCTGCGTATAGCAAGGTATCCGGTATTTTCAAGTAATACTGACAAATGTATCAGATGTTACGATAACATTCTTCATTTATCGTAAAATTATACAAATTGCATTCCAGACAGAACTTACTTGCCAGAGGATACAGGAATTTGAAACTCAAGCCTCTTCAGACTTAGAACTACGTAACAATAAAATTGACGAGTTAAATAGGGTAAGTGTAGTTATGATTGTGGTAATTAGTTTATGCAAATGCTACTACTCATACTTTAGATTGAATTACATAAAATATATAATATCATCTAAAATCTATTATATAAGCGAATTATGCTGTATTATATCTTGACGATAGTAAATTAATCTAAATCTTTTTTTAACTTTACAGACAACGGACGAACTTAGGCATCAAATCGCTAATCAACAGAAAGTGCTTGAGCAGCACAAATCACATATAAATAAGTGTATAGACGTTGTAAAGAAGTTATTAAAAGAAAAATCAAACATAGAAAAAAAGGAGGCTAGGCAGAAGTGTATGCAAAATAGACTGAGGTTGGGCCAGTTTGTGACGCAAAGGGTAGGTGCGACGTTTCAAGAAAACTGGACCGACGGTTATGCATTTCACGAGCTTGCACGACGGCAAGAGGAGATAGCAACGGAACGAGAGGAAATTGACAAACAGAAGAAGCTGCTACTCAAGAAGAGGCCATCGAATAGCGAGACAGGCAGGAAACGTAGTCAACCACAACCCTCCTTGCATAACGGTACTGAGGCGACGTTTTTGAAGCCAGATGCAGTACCTGGATCGTATACGTGGCAGGAGTATTATGAAGCTGACGAAATACTCAAGGTATCAACGTTTTGCAATTAATTTTCCATAAATGTTCGATTTTTCAACATTTTTAAGCGTTGCGATGTGTGCTTCCAGTTGAGGCAAAGCGCATTGAAAAAGGAAGATGCAGACTTGCAACTAGAAATGGAAAAGCTTGAAAGGGAGCGAAATTTACACATTAGAGAGTTAAAGCGTATTCACAACGAGGACCAATCGAGATTTAACTCTCATCCTGTTTTGAATGAGCGTTACCTCTTATTAATGTTGTTAGGAAAAGGTGGTTTCAGTGAAGTGCATAAGGTAACGTAATATTTCTGTATATTGTTTTTGTTAGCCATATTAATTTATTGTAAGCATATTTACGATTCCTTTTATCTCCTTATGTGGAGCATAGGACGTCTATAGGCCTCTTCCTCTTTTATCCGAGGCCTATATTCGTTTCTCGAATCAGATTGTTTTTCGGATTTGTGGGTGATTGATCCACAGAATCCTCCTCAGTCAGATATTAGAGATATCTATAACTAATATGTATACTGATGTATACTGATGTATACTGATTAATTTATTGTAAGCATATACAAATAATTTATTGTTCTTTTTTCTCTAGGCATTTGACTTAAAAGAGCAGCGATATGTGGCTTGTAAAGTGCATCAATTAAATAAAGACTGGAAAGAAGATAAGAAGGCTAATTATATAAAGTAAGTTTCTTAAGTTTTCTTTTCCGACACGATATTAATTTATTATAACCGATAATTAATGTAAAGATGTTTTAATAACATCTACTTTCTCTCAAGAAAAATGTTTCTACTATATTTCTATTTTTTTTTGTACAACAGACATGCATTACGGGAATATAATATACACAAAGCACTTGATCATCCTCGAGTCGTAAAATTGTACGATGTATTTGAAATTGATGCCAATTCCTTTTGTACTGTTCTGGAATATTGTGATGGCCATGATTTAGATTTTTACCTCAAACAGGTAAGCGTTCAATCGTCGCTTCATATGCGAATTTTCTATTTTAATAATTATAGATTGTAATATAAATTTTTATTATTTTTAAACTATGTCTTAAATATTTTATTGCAGCATAAGACTATACCCGAAAGAGAAGCGAGATCTATTGTTATGCAAGTCGTATCGGCATTAAAATACCTCAATGAAATAAAACCCCCAGTCATACATTACGATCTGAAACCAGGTAAATATTACCTAGCGAATACAATAGTCATTAACGAAGAATTTTATAACGAAGATCATTTTTGCACTCAAGTAAATATGATTTTATTACTTGATGCTCCTGTTTGCAGGTAACATTCTGTTAACCGAAGGCAATGTGTGCGGCGAAATAAAAATCACGGATTTTGGTTTAAGTAAAGTAATGGATGAGGAAAATTATAATCCGGATCATGGAATGGATCTAACGTCTCAAGGAGCGGGTACTTATTGGTACGTACTTCTTAAATTATTTTATCATGCTAATCGTTAATTATTATTAATGCAGATTATAAACTTGTATGTTTGCGTTTTATTATAGGTATCTACCTCCTGAATGTTTTGTCATTGGCAAAAATCCTCCCAAAATATCATCTAAAGTTGACGTATGGAGTGTAGGAGTTATATTTTATCAATGTCTATACGGTAAAAAGGTATTTATCACAGTATACATTCTACAAAGTTTCACTTATCGCAAACATAACAAAAAACATGTGTATTTAAACAAAAATTATTTTTGCAGCCTTTTGGTCACAATCAATCGCAAGCCACCATTTTAGAGGAGAATACGATACTAAAAGCCACCGAAGTTCAATTCGCGAATAAACCAACTGTCAGCAACGAAGCAAAGGTAAGATCATCAGTGGAAAAAAAACGAAAATCAAAGTTGAGGACCATTTTATAATGCAACGATTTACTGTTTCAGAGTTTCATAAGAAGTTGCCTAGCGTATAGGAAGGAGGAACGTATAGACGTACTGACACTAGCTAGACACGAATACCTGCAACCCCCAGTGCCAAAACATGGCCGCCAAGCGAACAGCCAGCAGCAGCAGCAGCAACAACAGATCCAACAGCAGCAGCAGAGCTCGTTCAATATCGGCATGTTTAGTGGTATGAACGCGTCGAGCAGTTCGTAGTGGAGAGGAAGGACTAAGGACAAAATCCTCGATATATACCAATACATGCCAAATCTTGAGCGCTCGGACTGTATACACCATCTCATCTTAGGAAAATAACGATTGCTATAACCAATTGTAAATACTAAAACCGGATACTATCATCGTCACCAACCACCATCACCACTACCACCACCCATCACCACCACCACCACCACCACCACCACCACCACAATTATTATCACATCTACCACCGCCATCACCACACCATCACAACTATACTTACAGGATCGACTACATAGGACATTGCAAGAGAGATGCGAGACTGGTCACCCGCAAGTCCAGAAGCTTGCGTCTTTCTACAAGCCACGCCACATTATTCAGCATGACAAGAAACAATGTTGTGTTCGTAAATATTCAATTGTATTATCGTTCCTTGTATCAAACAGTGCGATGACTTGATAATAGTGTTTAAAAGAAACAAGAGAGCGAGAGAGAACGAACGAGCGTGCGAACGAGAAAATAACATGTGATAAGTCATTACGAGATAAAAGTGACGTCTAGAATAAGAGGGGAGGGGGGGAAATAGAGCATGTATGAAAGAGAGAAAGAGAAAGCGCAAAAGCGTCAAGTAAAACGAAAATAAAGCAAAAATGAATTTTTTTTTTTCGATGGAAGTAAAATAAAGTTGATGAGGTAAAGGAAGCAACGAAGAATAGGAGAAAAAAGTAGGAAGAAGTTGAGAAAAGAGCAATCGGAGCAATCGCTTTTACGGAGATAACGTTTCTCTCTCCCGGCGTTTTAGTGTGCGTGAGCGAACGATAGAGGATTGTTAAAATTAGTGTGAGTGTATATATTTATACTATATATATAAATATATATATATATATAAACTAATAAATTCGACATAATATATATATATATGGTGTAAAAAGAACGACGACAAGCATTGACAGTGGGAAGACAACTGTGGTGGCTCTATCCTCGCATGACCTCCGGCGCCGGTACCGGCATTCCATGAATGCTCGGCCTGTGCATCATGTTACTTTATTCGAATATTAACATTATTACCTGTATCATGACTAATAACGGTTAACATACACGCGCATCCACGCCACATACGAAAACACATACACAACACGAGTACACGAAGGAGATTTGATTGGTTGTTCCTATTCTGAGGCGAGAGTGGGCTTTATCTATATTGCCGGAACGATAGTCCGATAGAGAGCGAAGTGAGAATCGCGTAGAGAAAACGAGAGTATGTGTGAAAGAGAGAGAGAGAGAGAGAGAGTCGCGATGTGCTCCCAAAGTGAATAAAAAAAAAGCATCGTAGTCCACCACTTATCATCATAATTTGTAAAACCCGTTCTCACGCGTGTATAGTTTTGAAGTCCCGTGTCGATTCGCTGTAACGAAGCCACGCATTACGTTTTTCCTCCTTCACTCTTCCTCCTTTTTTCTTTTCTCCTCTCTTTTCTCTCCTTTTTTCTCTAAAATCAAAAAGGTAGAGAAAAAGAGAGCGACAGAAAGAGAGAGAAAGCGCGGATCCAAATGTGTGTATAGAGCAAGTTGAAAGAAATGGTTAAATGATTTAATTAATTAATCGAACGAGAAGTACGGGAAAATGTGAAAATGATGAGAATACGGAAGAACGAGCAAATCTTTAGATAAGAAAGTTTGTGGAATGCTATACCGACCCAATCATTATTTCTTTACTCGTAATTTGTTTTATATATGTACGTTATATATAGATAATTATGAAATAGAAAACTAAGTTATTTTATCAAGTGCCCTTGCTTTGTATTATAGTCGCGTCTGTCTGCGAGCCGTAGCTTCTGGGAAAGAGAGAGAGAGAAAGAGAGAATGAAGAGAGAATGCGTTGAGAGCGAACGTGAGATTAAAACAAGCGAGTGCGTGTGTTGTTAAAATATTGCGTCAGTTATTGGTACAATGTGGGCACCGGGGTATTGATGACAATTCAATACCATCAATGTGATTGGCAGAAGTGTGGTGAGAGAGGAGAATACATTACAAGTCTGAACAGAGTCTACTACTTAGATCCGTCGCTTCAATTTTGACAAACAAAAAAAAATATCAACCGCTCCTGCATCCCGTATCCCATTTTTTTTTTTTTCGCGATAAGATACACAATGCGCTCTTTTTTCATTTTACACGCACGACGTTGCATTTAATCGTGCTCATTGACGATCTATGAGGTGATGTAATTCTAAAAGGATATAAATCCGCGTGATCTGCTTCGCAATTCGACACGATTTTCCTTTACGTGATTTCCGAAAACTTTTTCGTTAACGAGAAAAGGAGGGAGGGGGGAATGTTAACGCGATCAATAAAATATAAAAATTGTTACCTGCATCATATTTCCGTTAAATCATTTTCGCGATAAACCTATATTGAGTAGAGCTTAGCTCTAAGTTTACTGCAGCCGGCCTTTAAAAAAAAATCTTATCCGAAGGTGTAATTTGCCGAGCGTTTACGTCTTCGAGATCTCTCGTGGTGAATGAACATTTACGCGAGAACACATAGGATTCGTATACTTTGTGACAGGAAGGATATTTTACGTTTATACATATCTATGGAATTCTCTGGGAACGTAATTGGTGAACGCAATCACGTGCATGTAAAGTAGAAACGGAAAAATTTTTAAGAAAAGGATTTTACTTTTCATTGAGCACAAATATAGAAATACCTTCCCATCGATTACAAGGTATTGCCATGACTTACATACTATTATAAAATATCCGTAATACTAAATACTGGTCTTTTTCTTTTCCAATCGTCCCTGCATGTCGGCATAGTCACGATCTTCCTCACGATAAAAAGAAAAGAATGAAAAGGAAAGAAACAGGAATTGCGTCGAGGACGGTGTATGAAAACGTTATAGCAATAAATTTTACGTATTTGTGTATAATTTAAAATTAGTAAACTTATTAATTAAATATAAATCACACGCATCTTTTACGGTATGCATGATATCCCCGCTGCTTTTTCGTTTCTCTTTCATCACTTTCGTTTTTGGCGAACGATGTTGAACAATGAATTGCCGAATGTCTAAAAAGTTAAAACATTTTATTTATATATTTATGTATATATATACGTATTTAGTATGTGTGAATTATATAAAAATGAAAATCGTCAAGGGTACACGAAGTATTGATTAGGCTGAGAACACGCGCGCTTTGGCCGAGGGCTAATCGACTGATCTTTATATCGAGATATTTATTTAATAGCAGGTGTAAAATCGTTGCGCTAATTACAACCATAATAATTCTCTTTTATCTTATCCTACGAATGACCAAGTTATGCGCACACAGAACTATTACAATTTTAATCAGAAAAGTCGAATTCAATAAACACCAAATATACCTCGAAGTTTCTTCGAACTCGTATATGGAAAGTAAAATAATAACATTTATATACGAGAGAAGAGAGAGGAGGAAGAGCACATAAATTGTAAGGAGAATCGATCAGTTTTTTATTCGCATAAACTTTTAGCTCCGGATCTTTTTTTCTAATTCTAGTTACGATCGTGACTCTCTCAACTATTCGATCACGCCGAGTTTGACTCTCGCTCAACAGTTTGAAATCTACAAAACTTCTTTGTTAACTACAATGAGACATGAGCACGAAGTAAATTTATTTTATTCTACGTGTGGTATAAAGTTCAAAACGTCCGACAGCTTCGCTTAACCAATATCGAGCGCCGTATAATTCTAAGATTCGTTCTATGTATATATGTATAATAGTTAGTTATCGCTGTATAATTTCTTTTAGTCTTTAGACAACTTGAAAAAAATTCACATTGTGACGTATGTAAAAATATATTTAAAAATTGTATATATTTCATATTTTATTTTATTTTCTATGAAACGTTTCTTTTCCAAAATCAGTATATCTCTCTTTTTCTCTCTCTCTCTCTCTCTCTCTCTCTTTCTCTCTCTTCTGTTTCTCTTTCTTTGAGCTTTATCGAGTCGTATCATACAAATAAAATTTCGACGAAAATAATATGACAATTGTGCGATAATTCGAGAATTAATTTCATTTGGAGAAGTGTTCCCTCGTTTTACGCGGTACTAATTATCTAATACAATCTATCTAGCATAGAGGCGGCGCTGGACATTTTTCTTTTGCAAGACAGAAGCTTACCACGTATTCTCCTCGAGCTTTCAAAAAGAAAATAAACTACAAACAGGTGAAAATTATACATCAATACTACAATATAAAACAATATACAATTTGCACTAAAAGAAATTTTTTCCGAGGAGACTTCGATCATACAATGAAATTTATGTGAGTATTCTAAACACACTCGATACGTCCTGTAGCACTGTCTACAGCGTTTTAATTTCATAAAATTCCATTCATTCGCAACATTTTATGCGTACTCAAAGAGCAAAATTATGTACATTGTATGGAGCGTCTCAGGAAGAATGTGCCAGAGATCGAGCAACTGTTGCTCAAGTAAATCTTCGAATGTTAAAAAACTCGAGAAAAGCAGAAATACAAATTTTTATTTCAAATTATTTCTGCTCTTCAAATTATTCTTAGAACATATTCCACATTCTGGCAGATCCTATTCGAAGCACCCCACATAAAATTACTACTAATGTCACGACCAACAATCAGCGGGGACGAAAATTCTCCAAATAAACTTATGTGCAACATCTGTTCACGACGACTTGAGTTTCGTCTTGCCTCCGATTCATACTCTAAACTACTTCAGTCAACTACGTCTCTGGCATTTTTCAGAGTGCACGATAATGTTCAATCGGAGTCGTCGCTATCATCTGACTTTAGTGCGTAAGATACTGGCTTTCGAGCTCTACCGAAAGTTCGGGGTGGCGAATTATCTGATACAATCTCTTCATCAGATTCTGATGTCTTCTTTTTCTTTTTCTATAAATGAAATTTAATCAATGAAAAATTCTTACGATACTCTTAATTATTATTTGAATATATTGACTCAAAAATGTTGCTCTTACTTTTTGTTTGGTGGTAAATAATAAGTCATCTGTGTCAGAATCCTCGGATGATTTTAGTTTCTTCTTCTGCCTCTTCACTCCTTTGTTACCACCATTCTCAGTCTTTTTCTTAGTACGTGCTGTAAATACAAAAGATGAGTAATGATTACGAAATAATTTTTATTTAACAGTAAGATTCAGTTAATTATCCATTACCCTTCTTAGGTGGCATAAATTTTGTAGGCGAATCTTCTCCGGATGAGGATACTAAAGGTTTTTTCTCAAGTGAAGATTGCTTCTCAGGAGAACTGCCGACTAACGAATCAAAAAGTTCTTCTGAAGTCGCTGTGCAGAAATAAATAAATATATAATATTTTCTTTAAGAGACATGTGTAACTACATTGCTTAATTTAAATATAAATCTACTTACGTGCCGGTTGTGGTTTTTTGTTTGGTTTAATATTGTCGTCGGAATCGCTCAACTCTATAAGAGTTTCTTTTTTCTTGAATCTAAAGAAAATTCGCAATGTATGTGGAGAAGTAACTTGAAGCAAATCAATATAACATATAACAATTACACTTACGCTTGTTCCGAATCAGAAGACCGATTGAATAATTCCTGACTGGCATCCGAATCGTCGCTGTCAAAGTTATAATTCTTCTTGGCTAGTATTTAAACAAAGAAATAAAGAATGAAAAATTTGAAAAAACAAGACATAGTATAATCTATTCTTATTTTTAATAATTTTTGGTTAAAAAAAAAATTAAAAAATTGATACCTGTGTTCCTACGAGATGTTCGTGGTTGCGGAAGTGGCGAAATGCTACCAAAATCGATGTCATTGCTTTCATCTGAGTCATTATCCTTCTTTTTGGCTCCTTTTTTGATCGGCTTAAATTGTAATGTTGTTTGTTTTAATCCTGTTTACAAGAGTAAAAAAATTTGTTAAAATATTTGCTTGCAATATCCGCTGTAAATTATGTAATTTATGAATTAAAATTTATCAACCTTTCTTTGCAGGTTTCTTTTCCAGCTTTTCAGGAGAACTTCCAAGTCTTTGTTCAAGGGATTTAGTATTAGAATCGACCAATACATCAAACTCGTCTTTGTCTTCCATAGAAATTTGTTCTTTCTTTACCTGATACAAAAATTTTCAAAATTTTTTAATATGACAACGACGTAAATGTATAAATAAATCAGATTTTTTACGAATAAACTTAATTTTAATATCTTTGTTTGTGCTTTCTTTTTAGCCATTGACCTTACATTTATTAACAATATTCAATACTTGTATTAATTATGTTCTTACATTTATTACTTTGCATAAGATGAACCTTTTTGTATATAAATTAGGTAGACTTACTCTTGATTTCTTTACGCCTTCTTTCTTATCCTTCGACACAATGTCGGCTTTTTCAATCTTTTTCTTCAGTTCAACATCGATAACAGGAACTATCCGACGAGTGTCTTCCATCTTAGAGTAGAATTTCGAGGGTGGCTTTTTGACGTTTTGTTTCGTTTTTATTTGTTCTTTCTGCTCCTTTTCTTCCACCTATATAAAAATTGTAAAACAATCAAATATAAATGAAGTTAATTATTTTTTGAGAAAACAAATCTTACTTTATTTAATTCAGTTAACAAATTGTCCAAATCCTCTTTCCATAAAGAAATCGGCGTGCGAGCTTGCAATCTCTTCAGCTCCGCTATTTTCTCGTCTCGTTGACGCAATAAATCATCCTTCTTTTCTTTCGTTAAAGACCACATCGTCATTCCAAGCAGGTAATCAAAATTTTCCTTCTCGATTGTGCTCGTAGTTGGAGTGGACTCTTCATCGTTTTCTGCAACTTCTTCCTATTTATTTGGACAATGAGAATTATTGCTAATGCTATACATATTTATGGGGAAACGATGGGGCTTTTTACAAAGCAACTATAATCCAAAGTTCTATATTTAATTGAAAGTTCTCTGCTTATTTTTGTTAAACAGCAAAGTTTCTGCTAAAATATTTATTTACGGAAAATGGTTGTTTGCTAAAAAACCTTTATGTTACAATGTCTACATTGGAAGTTTTACATATT